GTATATTGAAGCCAAAATACCATATGAGTCAAACAGTGTTTTCTATCAGGGGTTTTAATCTAACAAATAAATGCGTCCTGCATAAAAATAATGAACAGGCAGCAGTAATGGATTAATGGACGTTATGGGTAACGGTGCTTTGATATGATAATAATTCCTTAAGTACATGACCACTTCTGTGACCCTGCGGTCTCTGGGCCTCTAAATCTCGGTTACCTTCTCTGCAAAATGCAGTGGGCGCTGCTGCAATTATTATGTGTTTGCATAATGATGGCAATTGTCATTCTCAAAATGCTTGTCCGTTCATTATTCATCCATCTAACAAATATTCACTGAAGGTTTAACGTGCCAGGTGCTGTGGTAACTGGTGAGCAAAGGAAAGAGAGTCATGGACCCCTGGGTCTTGGGAGGTGCTTTGGGTGAAATATTAACAAAACTGTTCCCAGGCCACCCTGACCAATGCAGAGTCCGGGGCCCGTGATTTCACTTTTGGGTCACGCCCTGGAACAGGAACATAGCTCTATCATGCAAGCAACTCCAAGCAACCCCCTAGGGCAGGCTGGGCAGGTGTGAGCACCTGAATTTCACAGGTGAGGAAGCTCTAGGGTCACACAGCCGGGCTACAAAACCCCGCTGCGGCCTCGGCCTTGGCTGCGTGGCCCAAGCCGGCTTCTCTCTGAGTAGGGAAGGGGGAGATGCTGAACCACTGTGACTGCGAGTCCGCTCCCTGGAGGAGGTGTGGGCCATGCTGCGGTGCCAGGTCGCCTTAGAGAGTGACGCGGCTGCGCACCAGGACCAGGTGGAGCGCGTGGCAGCGCTGGCCCAGGAGCTCAAGTAGGCACAGCTGCTGCTCGCCCCGCTCCGCCCTGCTCCCTGTTGCCTTCCTAGAGACGCTTCTTTCTCCTGAGTTAACCCCACCTTGGTTACCAGGTCCTTCCCCATCACCACTCCTCCACTCTAACCCCTCCCCTATCTGCAGCCCCGACTCTGGTGCTCCCACTTCCCCACAGGCACTCCGCCTGCCCCCTAACCTGGCAGCTCCCTGCAGCTCCAGCGGAGTCTATTCCCCAGCTTTTCTCCATGAGCGAGGGCCTCCTCTTGTGAACCCGCCTCTTGTAACCCCAGCCCGAAGCTCCAGGCCCTGCTGCTCCATCCCAGTTCCTCCAGGGACTGGAGCTGAGGGCCAGCAAAAGCCCCCCCTTTCCCCAGGAATCCACCCGGACACCCCCCGCCCCCACACACACTCATTTATGCCCCTCACACCACCCAGCACCCTTCTAACCCCCAATGGCAGTTGGGAAGAATCTGGGCTGGAGTCTGGCCTACAATTGGCCCCTTCCCGCCCCTAGAGAGCTGAACTGCCACCAGGCCGCAGTGAACAGCCGCTGCCAGGCTGTCTGCGACCAGGGGGACAGCCTGGGCACGCTGACTCAGAGGAGACAGAAGCGCGCTGCAGTGTGGGGAGGGGGCGCCGCCTGCTGGGCAGGCTGCTGACTCCCCCTCCCCCTGGCCCCTAGCAGATGGAGAAACTTCTGAAGACCATCAACCAGCTGCAGCTGGAGTTTGCAGAGGGCAGCACCTTCAACAACTGGTGGGACGGCGCTGAGGAGGACCTGCGGGACGTGTGGCTGGTGCACTCAGTGGAGGAGACTCAGGTGGACAAAGGGGTCGCAGGTGTGGGGGGGGATGGAGGACAGGGAAGCTGGCCTAAATGCCTGTCAGCCGTTCCTTGGCCAATAGGGTACGTGGGTGGAAGGAAAACCCCAGCACCCCATTCTCCCCTAGAGAGGAGGCCTGGATTCTTCAGCCAGACTCACCTAGACAGCTGGAAGGCCTGCAGCATGTTGCTGCCCTTTCTGTTGCCAGTGGGAAGGAGGGGGAGACACAGGCTGATGCTTCTCACCTGTTGCCCCCAGAGCCTGCAACAGCACACGAACAGTTCAAGACCACACTGCCCGAGGCTGACCGAGAGCGGGGTGCCATCCTGGGCATCCAGGGTGAGATCCAGAAGATCTGCCAAACCTATGGGCTACAGCCCAGCTCCACCAACCCCAACATCGCACTCAGCACACAGGACATCAACAGCAAGTGGGATATGGTGGGTGCCCCCTGCTGCCCCTCGCAGCATCCCACCTGCTCCTGCAGAGTCTCACAGCATGACTCCTCTGGTGTCCCAAGATACAGAGAAACTAGAGGCTGGCCACGGACTCCCCGTGGCGCTGGCTACCTCCTGGCTGGCCTGGCCTGGTCTCACTGGTAAAATGGTCAGAGCAGCTGCATTTTCCCATCAGGACTGATGTGAGGTCAAATTGAATCTTGTGTGTGTGTGAATCTTTATAAAAGCCACCTAAGCTAGTTATCAGACCTGAGGCCACTGGGCCCTCTTTACAGATTCGGAAGGCCCCAGAAGCAGCGACTTGCCCAACAGCTTGCTTGCCCAGAGCCCTGACGACTTAGCTCAGAGCAGCAGGGGCTGCTTGAGGGGCTGCAGCCCACCTCCCCTCAAAGTCACTCCCCCTGGTGCCTGCGCCTGGCATGAACATCCTCCTTTCCAGGTCCGAAAGCTCGTGCCCAGTCATGCCCAGACGCTGCAGGAGGAGCTGGCACAGCAGCATGTGAACAAGAGACTCCAGCGCCAGTTTGCTGCCCAGGCCAATGCCGTCGGGCCGTGGATCCAGGGAAAGGTGGAGGTACAGCTTGGCCTGGGGAGGGGAGGGCCTGAAGCTTCTGGGAGCCCTCATCCTGCCCAGGCTCCCCGGCAGGAGGTGGGGCACCTGGCAGCAGGGATGGGCGGCTTGCTGGAAGAGTTGACGGCCGGGCTGCGGCAGCAAGAGCAGAATATCATCCACTACAAGGACAATATCGACCGGCTGGAGGGCGCCCACCAGCTGCTACAGGAGGGCCTGGTGTTCGACAGTAAGCACACTGCCTGTGGCATGGAGGTGGGGGCGCCCCGCTTAGAAGAGTGGGAATGCGACCATGACAGGGAAGCCTGTCTGCCCCAGGAGGGTCCCCCAATGTACCCATAGGGCTACCAAACCCCACAAAGGAAAGTGACCTGTCCAGAGCTACACAGCAGTCTAAAGTCAGGGCTAGGCCATGGCTGGCTGACCAATCCTTAATCCACAGTAACTCATCCAACCTTAAGGCTGGAGGGGTTGCTGGAGGTCACTCAGTGGGTTCTCCAGATGGGAGACGAGACATCAGCTCAGCTGGCGAGGGGAGGGGAAGGATCTGCCCATGGCCACGCACCGCATTTTGGGAGCGGAGCGTGAGCGAGTGGCCAAGCACTGGCCGCCCGTTGAAGTGGCCGGTCTCCTGCCCCCCAGCTGCTCACGTCCATTGCTCACACCATCAACGAGGTGGAGAACCAGGTACTGACCAAGGACACCAAGGGTCTGAGCCAGGAGCAGCTCAACAAGTTCCGGGCACCCTTCAACCACTTTCACTGGGTCAGCTGGGGCCCTGCCCTGTGGGGTGTGGACTGGCGGCCGGTGGGCCTGGGGGCTGAGACTAACTCCCGCTCACCCACTGCAGAAGCGGAATGGTATGATGGAGCTGACGACTTCCGGACTTGCCTCATCTTCATGGGCTACGACCTGGTGAGGCGACCCTCCCCCCCACCCAGGAGTCTTCTCAGTAGCCCTCTCCTTGAAGTGCCTCCCACCCACACACACTACCTCAGTTCTCCCTCACACCCACAGGGGCAGGGTAGAATGACCCCATTTTACATAGGGCCTTCAAGAGCTCAAAGAGGGGCCCCCCCTGGTGGCACAGCGGTTGAGTGCTGGGCTGCAAAGCACCGGTTCGATCCCCCCACCAGCGAGGGTCCCATAAGGTGCGCAGACCTCTCCTGCCGCGTCTGCTGCTCCCCTCAGCATTGTACTTCGTCAGTCTGCCTGCTCTGTTCCCGGCTCTGGTGAATTCTCTCACCCTCCCGCACTTCTGACTGTACCCCATGCTTGTATAAATAAATAAATAAATCTTTAAAAAAAAAAAAAAAAGCTCAAAGAGGTAAGTTGACTTGGTCCAACTCACTCAGCTAGCAATGGACCTAGTGGCATGTGACTCATGAGCTTGCATTTTTACCTCAGAGAAACAGCACTACAGAGAGAGGTCTGGGTAGCCCCAGCAAAAATGATAGGGTCCAGAAGGCGACAGGAGTTGCTGCCTAGGGCAGGAAGATTTCTGCTAGTCAAAAGGGCTTCCTGAGGCCAGGGCTCACGAAGGCCGCTGCAGCCGTCTACATCTACAGAGGGGTACAGGGTGGGGTGGGGGAAACATCCAGCCAAGGGTGACCAGTTGCCAGGAGGGGCGATAGGCTCTCCTGGCATGGGTACCTGTGCCCACATGCCCTGGCCTGGCCCACAGGGAGAAGTGGAGTTTGTGCAAATCATGACTATTGTGGACCCCCACGCAGTTGGGGTGGTGACGACTTTCCAGGCCTTCATCGACTTCATGACCCGAGAGACAGCTGAGACAGACACAGCTGAGCAAGTTGTGGCCTCCTTCAAGATCCTGGTGGGAGACAAGGTGAGTCCTAGGGAGCAGAGGGGTCTGGCGGGCAGGGAGTAGGATCTGGGGCCCACACAACCTCTCTCCCCCAGTACTACATCACCCCCGAGAAGCTGCGGCGGGAGCTCCTGGCTGAGCAGGCCAAGTACTGCATCTGCCGCATGACCCCCTATAAGGGCACTGGGGCTCCAGCGGGAGCCCTGGACTACGTGGCCTTTTCCAGTGCACTGTACGGGGAGAGTGACCTCTGACCTTGACCACTGCAGTTCTCTGTGCAGGAGAGGGTGACCTCTGGCCGACCCCATCCACCCCTTGGCACAAGGGCCACAGAGAATGACCAGCGAGTGTTTCTGAATGAAGACCCATCCGCTGGCCCCTCTTCCTCTCCTTTTGGTTCCGGAAGCAGAAGCTGGCCTCAGGCTGCTGAGCAAGACCAGCTGCCCAATCTTGACCCTCCGGCGGACCCCACCCCTCCGTGCCCTCAGGGACTGAGCAGTCACATCACACTGGGGCCTAGAAAGCCTCTTTATTGCTGTTAGAACAGGGTGGTTACAACAGTTTCTCTAGACATAGACGGGGACACTGTCCCCAAATCCAGGGGAACGAGAAAACGTACAGCATCAGGCAGAGGACAGCGGAATGGGAAGCCAGAGCCTGCTGAGGACAGAGCTGGGCGGAGACTGGAGTATTTCCTTCCTACCTGCTCCTTCTCCAAATCCAGGGGTCTCGCCCCAGCTGCAAGATACCATTCTTCACCCCAAAGTCCTCCTAGCTCCCACTATACAACAAAGGTTGGGGAACTTCAGGGTGGCGGGGGTTGGCACCTAGTCCGATGCCCTTTGCTCACCCTGAGGTGCCCAGTGCCCATCCCTCAGCCGGCTCCCCTCCTGGGGAGGGCCTGGCCATGCAGGTCAGGCTGGGGATGGGGTCTGCTCTGGCCAGCACCAGGTCCCACATTGGCGCCCTCAGTCCACCACTGCTGAGCTGGCCATGGTGTTCACGCCACAGGCCCCGGATCCCCGATGCAGGTAGTAGTAACCCTGGGGGGAGTAGGGTGTGTGATGAGGGCATCAGAGCAGGATGGAGCCTGGAGGCATAGGGCCAAGCCGACAAGACTCACCTGCTCACCCCAGTTAGTGCCCCAGCTGTTCTTGATGGCCCAGAAGGGGACTGCTGAGCCTGGAGAACAGGGTGCAGTGCAGGGCATCAGGCCCTAAGCAACGCATGCATGTCTGCTGTGGGCCTACTAAGTGCCAGCTGTGGGGAGAAGGGCAGAAAGCCAGAGAGGCCCACCGACCGCCCTCCTGGGCTCCCAGCATGGCTCTGGGGTAAGGGTGGGGCACCAGTCTCCCCGCAAGCAGGCTACTGTCCAGAGCAGTACATCCTCCCCCACCTCAGCTTTCCTGTCCACGCAGAGGATGAATGACTCCTGCCTGGCCCAATGCCCAAGCCTGCAGTGAGGACGGGGCTCCAGACATTCCCCCGGACCCTATCCAGAGGTCTGAGAGCCAAGTCCAGCCTCTGCCTGTGACCGCAGTGGACGGCAAAGGGGTCAGTAGAACTCACGGTTGCCGAAGCCCACGAGCAGCACCGCGTGGTCGATAAGCCAAGGGCTGCAGAGGGGCCGCAGCGGGTGGGCGATCCCACGGCGGTAGAACTGGTGTGGGAGGGTGGAGAATAAGGAGTAGGGGCCAGCGTCTAGGAACAGTAGGGGAGGAGTCGGCAAGAGAAGGAACAGAAGTAGCAGGGCCAGGGTCTTACCTGCATGCCAAAGGCATTGATGGCAACGGAGATGGGGCCCTTCTTGGCCAGCCAGGCTGCCATCTCTGAGACAGGAGAGGGTCAGTGTCAGGGACATGCAGGCCACAGCCCTACCCGGCCAGCCCTCACCCTGCCCCTCACTCACTTTGCTCATTCTGGCTCAGCTCCACGGAGTCATTAATGTAGACCTTGGCCTTCTCTGCAGAGAAGTTGCAGGACTGCAAGTGGCCCTTGTAGCTGTAGTCGTCCTCCGTCTCCAGCCCTCCTGGGGAACGTGGCGGGTGAACAGAGAAAAAGTGGACCCCATTCACATCTACTCATCCTCTCCCAGCCAGAAACCGTGCTCAGCCCCCCCAGGTCCCAGGCCATCCCCTAAGGCAAGGCCTTGTTCTAGAGAGGGAACCACTGAAATGCAGGCACCTTCTGGGGCAGCGAGGAACATGGCCACCCTGGAACTCCACTCCCACCTCTCAGTCTGCTCCCCGCCAAGTCCTGGGACTCCTGACCTGGGCTGGCTCAGCTCTGGCCTAACAGTTGCTCCCTGTGCAGCTCAGACCCCTGCCAGGCTCCCAGACTAGCCTCTGGACAGCCCTGCAGCCCTCACTCTTCTGCCACTGCAGAAGTGAGCTGCCCAGGAGGCAATGCCTCCCCTTGGCGGGTGGGGGGTTTACTACAGGTGGCAGCTTTCCAGTCCAGGGCCTCCCTGGTGGCACAGGGGGTTGTCTCAGCACTATGAAGCTGCTGGCAGTCACTGCAGCAGGAGTTTGATCGCTGGCCAGGAAGCTGACTCACATGGCGCAGCTGACCTCTCCTGACTCGCCGCTGCTCCCCTCAGCAGTGTAGTTCAGTCAGTCTGCCTGTTCTGCTCCCCCCTCTGTCTCTGGTGAATATTCTCACCCCCCACACCTCTGGCCTACACCCCAGCTCATGTATACATAAATAAATAAAATAAATCCTGAAAAAAGAAAAGACAGCAGTCCAGGCTGCAAAAACACCAAGACCCCTGCTCTGTACCAGGACTTTACACCTAGTTCTTTGCTGAGCCCATTTCACAGATGTGGCCACCGAGGCCCTTAAAGAGTCAATGTGCCTGAGGTCATCAGCCAACCAGGGTCAACAGGAAGACTTGAACTCAGTTCAGACTCCCGTGCTCTTCTCCCTCCCCCACAGGAGCTTGTGCTCCTACAGCCCTCGCCCCCACATTCCCCTATGCATACCCAGAATCTTTATGGCCGAGTAGGCATTGGAGGGCAAGCCGCCCAGACAGGCCTTGTCCACTTTGTCACAGTCCAAGAGCTCTAGAAGATAGAACACCGGTTCTGAGCAGCCCTCTGGGGGGGTTGGGTGGGGGGCAGGCGGGGAGAGCGGGATGCTCACCCTGCTCAGAGAGGGATAGCAGGTTCCCCTCTTTCAGGAACCACTGGCCCTCCACGTTGCCTGTGACCGAGAAGGCCCAGCAGGAGCCACACATGCCCTGCAAAAGACAGCGGTGTCAGGCTGGGGCCCTCCCCAACCCAGGGTGGTGACCCACCCTCCCTTCCTAGGGGGCGAACCTGGTCCTTGACTTTGGTGACAGCCCCCCTCTCCCTCCAGTCAAACTGAGTGGGGGCAGGATCATCAACAGGCTTGGCTCGGTGCATCTTCTGGCCTGGGTTGTCTTTTAGGAGCGGATTCAGGTAGATGGTGCGGAATTCCTCCTCTGGGGGTGGAGTGGGGGTGGAATGGTTATGCTAAGGCTGTCTCTTCCAGGCTCCACGAGGGCTCTGACCAACCCCTACCTGTGAGGTCACTAAACTTGGTGATCCCATACTCCGCTGTGCCACGGTCCAGGGCCTGGATCTTCCGCGCCCGCACCAAGTTATTGACAAAGACAGACATGCGCCACTGGGCCTCTGAGGACAAGGAGCAGGAGAAAAGGGGCTGATCCCAGGCAGGTTACAAAGGAGGGGCCTTGGGTTAACAGGCACAGGTTTTTCTGGGGAACAGGCAGGCTCTGGGTGAGGCCTGAGTCTGACGAGGAGGACATGGAGTGGGGGTGGGGGGCCAGATCTGCAAGTGATGAGTAGGGAGAACCACCAACTTGTGGAGTAAACTGGGGTGATGACCTCCCAGGTGTCAGAGCAGGACCAAACAGGGCTCCAAAGGGCATCTCCAAGACAGGAGGTTGTGGAAAAGGCCACCAGGCGGAGGGACCTCCAGCAGAGGAAATCTCTGTCCTATCTCACTCTACCCGGGATGAAGGACGCCCTGGTTTCTGACCGGAAGAACCAGACAGAAGAGGGGCAGGTACCTGAGGTGGCCTCAGTCATGGCAGGTGGACAAGAACTTGGCTATCTGGGGGCCCTAGAAAGGATGCTCTGCCTCTTGTGTCCTTCCTCCCCCAAACACCAAGAGGCCAAGTTGGGGGGTATACCCTGATCTGACTGGGGTGGGTACAACCAAGGCTGGGTCCTCACCCTCTTTTGTCTCATATGTCCGGTTGTAGGTGTTGACAAAGTCCTTGAAGATGGAGGTCATCTTGACAGTAAAGTCCTGGAAAGGCAGACGGGTTGGTGCACGGAGTCCTTCTCCACCTCACCAGGGAACCCCAGATTAGGGCAGACAGGGGATATCAGGCTACATCCAGCAACCCGGACAGAGACAGGGGGCTCACCTGAGGCAGGGGATCCTTGTTCAACAGTGGAAGGACCGAACTTAAAGTATCGTTTTTGTCATCTGGTGGAAAAGGACAGAGACCAAGGCTGGTCCCCTAATGAAGTTTGACCTGAGCTACCCCAGCCTCCTCAGCTAGCCCAGCACCTGTGATCCTGGTGTCCACTGGGCTACAGTCCCGCCTCAGCAACATGTGTTTTCCTAGTTCATCGAGGACTTCAAAGCTGCAGAGCTGGAGGGAGAGGAGGAAGCCAGTCTGGGGGCTGGGAGGGGAGCAAGGCCTTGACAAGACGGGGCTAGAGGGCCCTCGGATGAGGGCCACCTCCAAGGCCATCAGCCCAGTGTAGAGACTTAGGCACAGCCAGCCTGGCCATCCTGCCCTCTTACAGCACCTTGGTCTTTGGTCCTCGGGACCTGGATCTGACTCAGGGTTTGGGAGCTACCACCTCGAATACCTTCCTTTTGAGTTGGCCCATCATCTCAAGCGCTGCCAGGCTCGGCCTGGGGACTGGGGATCGCAGGAGCCCCGACACTCACCAGGGTTTTCTTGGACACAGGGAGCTGGCACACCATGGGGTCGTTGCAGGGCGTCTCCTCCAGGGTTGCCTTCAGGGAGTACAGCGACCCGCGGCCCTCCTGGAGGAAGAGACGAAGGGCGGGTGAGGCGGGCACAGCCCTGCGCCTTCGGGCCCCCCCTCGGGCCCCCCAATCCCGAGGGCCGGCGCTCGGCCGTCCGGCGCCCCCACCCCACGTCGGGGCCGAGTCCCCCTCCCGGACGGAGGCCCGCCCCCGGCGCGCCCTCACCCGGCGGACGCGGCCGCGCACGGCCCCCAGCACGGCCCGCGTCCCGGCGGCGCGGCCGCGGTTGTACGTCTCCAGGGCGAAGCGGGCGGCCGCCAGCAGCTCGGCGGGCGCCGGCTCCCGGGCCTGAGCGCCCGCGGCGGGGGGCTGGGCGGGGGCCGGGGCGGCGCCCGGGAGCAGCCCCAGCAGCGACAGCAGGGGCAGCCAGGGCGCCATGGCGAGGGCGAAGCCGGCGGCCCGAACGCCGGACGCACAGACGCGCGGACCAACCGACCCGGCCAGGTGCCCGCGGCCCGAGCCGCCCGCGTCCTCCAGCTCCGGGGCGGGCGGGGCGGGCGGGGCGGGCGGGCGGGGCGGGGCGGGGCGGGGCGGGGCGAGCAGCGGCCAATGGGCGCCGGCCGGGGGCGCCTGCGCGTTCGCTTATTTACGCCGGGCACGTGCGGCGGGCGGGCCCGGGCGTCCTCGCGCCCACCTGACGCCCACCTGCGTGCGCGCGTCGCCCGGCCCCGCCTTGCGTCATCCCCGTGGGTCGTGGGGCTGCTGTTCGCGCGGGGAAAGGACGCCGGCCTGGGGCTAAACGTAATAACTAATCTCCATTGTCTGGGCGTCCGGCCCGCGTTGCAGACCTGTCTTTAACCGTCCTGGCCACCCCGCGCCGCAGGCGGCGTCCACACTGACGAGGGAGGAGGTGGAGACTTGGGGGAGGTGAAGCGGCTTCACAAACACCTGATAAATGCTGGCGCTGGATGAGCGCCCCAGGCGCTGGCCTCCGGGTCCGGTGCACAGCGCAGGCGCCTTCTAAAGAGGTCGGTCACCCAGGGCCAGCGGCGGGGGAGGGGAGGGGAGGGCGCCCTGGCGATGCCTCTGCCTCGTAGGTCTAGGTCAGGAACTGGGGCCACGAGCGGGACTCTTATGAACACTGATGTTGGAAAGGTGTGTCCCTGTATGTCCATTCCTACGCTGGAATGATGTTCGTGTTTAATAGGATTTCTGTCAGAACACGGCCCCCAAATACTTGGGATAGGATGTGAGTTCCGCCGCGTGTCTATGACCCGGGCGCACGTGAAAGGGCAGTTTGCAGAGCAGGCCTGACCCCAGGGTCAGGTGTGGGTTACACAGTCCTCTGCCTCGAGGGGCTGAGCAGGTCCATGTCGTTTATATTAAGGCAAACGCTGCCCAGAAATGAAAAGGTCTGGGCATAGCCCAACCACCCGTCCCGGCCAGATAGCCCTGGCCATTCTAGAACTGCATGGGGTGAAAGTAGGGTTTCCTTCTGGAGACAGTCACCTGGTTTGTGAGCATGGCGGCTAACAGCTCTGATTCCGTTCCCTCCGACTTACCTTCTGAACTTTGACAATTTGCAAAAACTGTATCCGGTAAGTGAGTTTTCTAAGCTTCACACCCCAAGGTAGCAGATGACTTCTTCTGGGCCTGGGAGAAGGCGACAGCAAGGAGGGGGGCTAGAACAGAGGGCAACATCACAGGCTTTAAAGTCAGACTGGCTGACCCGGGTGCTCTTTCTGCTTCTGCCACACCAGCTGCGTGACTATCGCCAGTCACTTCAGCCCTCTGAGCTTTTCATAGAAGTGGGATGTACCCCATTTAAAACATTACTTCTAATCTTCTATAAAACAAAACAAAACGCTGGCAGAGAAAGGAGAGTCCTAAAAAGAAGGGTGAGAAGTGAAGCTGTGGAAGCAACTTAGGTGGCTGGGCAAGTGCCAAAGAGCTGTATGGAAATCTGGATTAGGAAATTTCTAGGAGTATTTTTGGTGACATTGAGCAGAGTTTTCCGGGTCCTCCACAGAGAAGGGCCAGAGATGCTAAACAGCCTTCAGTGTGTGGGGCAGCTCCATGGAACAGCCCCAGAAAATCCTGCGGATTTTCTAACATCACACAGGTCTTTACATAAGTGGAAAAACCTATTTATCATTATCAGCACCGAGGCCTCTAACTTTATGTATATTCTTGGAGTCAACTGTACAGATATATACAGCTGTGTGTAGATTATCTGCGATCCTATTGGTCCACCGAACAGTAGCAGTCAGCATTATATTATATTATATTGATTTACTACCCAAGTACAAAAGCACCTTTTTTCTGTCTTTTTTTAAAAAAAGATTTATTTATTTATGCATACAAGAACTGTGGTAGGGACCTCTCCGGTGGCGCAGCAGGTTGGGCGCAGTTCTGTGAAGCTGCCCACAGCCTCTGGGCGTGGGTTCAATTCCCGGCCTGCCAGGGTGCTACCCACATGGCGCAGCAGACCTCTCTTGGCTCGCCTGCTGCTCCCCTCAGCAGTGTATTTCAGTCAATCTGTCTGTTCCGCTCCTTGCTCTGTCTCTGGTGAATTCTCTCACCCTCCGGTGCCTCTGGCCTGTACCCCAGTTCTGGTATAAATAAATTAAAAAAATAACTGGGGTACAGGCCAGAGGTATGGGGGGATGAGAAGATTCACCAGAGATAGAGAGGGGAACAGAACGGGTGGATTGACTGAAATACACTGCTCAGGGGAGTAACAGAGTGACAGAAGAGGTCTGTTGTGCCATGTGGGTCAGCTCCTTGGCCGGGAATCTAACTTGTGCTGCAGTGGCTGCAGATAGCTTCTTAGTGCTGTGTCTTTTTTTTTTTTTTTTAGCTTGACAGGTGTCATTTATTTTACAATACTGTTCCTTGTACTGTTTTTGCTATTAACATTTCCTTTATGATATATTGTGATTTTATGATATTTTTGTTTGTTATTTTGCTATTTTAAAAATTCCTTTATTATCTATTAGTGACACTATCATAATGTAAAATGTTAAACACCTCAATTTTCTTTTTTTTTTAATTAATTAATTAATTAATTAATTAATTTATATAAGCACTGGGTACAGTCAGAAGCGCGGGAGGGTGAGAGAATCCACCAGAGCCAGAGCGGGGAGCAGAGCAGGCAGAAGGACCAAAGTACACTGCTGAGGGGAGCAGCGGGCCGCAGGAGAGGTCCGCGCGCCATGTGGGACCCTCCTCCGGTGGCCAGGGAGCAGCCGGGGATCGAACCGGCACTGCAGAGGCCGCGGGCAGCCTCGCAACCCAGTGCTCAACCGCTGCGCCACCGGGGAGGCCCTCAATTTTCTTTTATAAGATGTTGATATATAAAATCTTAATATTTGAGAACCACTGCTTTATAAAGCAATGTGATCATTTTAATTTTTTTTAATTTTTATATTCCCCATACAATTGCAACCCCTTTATTTTAACCCCAATCCCTCCTTTCCCCGCCCCACCCCATAGTGTGTCTCTGGTTCATAGTTGTTTGTTGATTTTGATTTTTTCTTTCTTATAGTTTTTTTTTTCCTGGTCCCTTATTTAGGTTTTCTAGATTCCTGCTATGAGTGAGACCATCTGGTATTTTTCTTTTTCTTTCTGGCTTATTTCGCTGAGCATGATCCCTTCCAGCTCCATCCACGCTGCTGCAAATTGCATGAGTTTATCTTTTTTGATTGCTGAGTAATATTCCATTGTGTACATGTACCACATCTTCTTGATCCAGTCATCTATTTTTGGGTATTTGGGTTATTTCCAAAGCTTAGCTATTGTAAACAGTGCTGCTATAAACATAGGGGTGCAGGTGCCCTTCACAATTAACGTTTCTGTGTCCTTTGGGTAAATACCTAGGAGTGGAATTGCTGGATCCTATGGAAGCTCCATCTTTAGTAGGTTGAGGAATCTCCACACAGCTCTCCATAGTGGTTGGACCAGTTTGCACTCCCACTTAGTGCTGTGTCTTAACCCTTGCGCCACCAGGAGGTCCCCTTTTATCTTTCTTAATCCCTCTCAGCAAAGAAAATGAGTAGAGTTTGTGTGCATGTTTTGCTAATAAAGCCATAAAATCGCAAATAATAATAATCCTTCAAGCTCCCGGCCTGACCCCTTCTTTTGAGGTTCCTCTGCCTGTCACCTCCAAGCTGGCCAGAATCCTCGGTGGTTTATTCAGTTTATTCAGTCCGAGCCAGCGCTGGGGCTGCGGAGGCCGCGCGGGCTGTCGCCTGCCCCTTCTCCACGGCGGTGATGCGCTCTCGCCGCCACACGGGGGCGCTGTTGAGCGGGTGTCGGAGGCGGTCTGGGGGCGCAGCCACCGCCTCGCGAAGCGCGTCCGAAGGGCCGGGAAGCAGGGCCTGGGCGAGCACAGGCTCAGTGGACGAACATCAGCTCTAAATCCGTGTCTCTTCCTTGCAACTAAACATTAAAAAAAAAGATGTGACTTCTGAGCTTCACACCACCTGTTTGACCCCACCTCTTGCATCTCCAACTTAGCTGAAGGGGCATCCGGTTTTCATGCCCGCACCCCTGCGGACTCCCCATCTCGCGAAGGGCATCACTGTGCCTCCACGTGCCTCAGCTTCCCAAAGCAGCCACACCATCGAAGCCCATCCATGTGTCTAGCCAGGATGGCCTGCCGGACCTCGGAGCTCGCTCTTGAAGCTGAATAAGCAGACCAGCCTTCCTGATCAGCCTCCCGCCCGCTCGCCTGCGGGTTCCCCAGCCCGCAGGGGCCCCGCCCCCGCCTCACCACTGCCTTTGCCATGGTCCCTGCCTCTGCTTAAAAAAATGCAAATAGGGTCCCCCAAACCTTTTCTGGGGTGTCATGGTGTCAAAACTATTTTCATGATACTACTCAAACATTGTCTGCCTTATTTCCCTTCACTCTCTCGGAGCAGCGTTTTCCCCATGTTGCAACAGGTGAGCGTAGCAGCAGCTCTGGAACCCAGCCGTCTTCCCTAAGGCAGACACTACAGGCATTTGCCGAAGAGTAAAACGGCCACTCTTCACTGTTATTTCTATTAACATCGACTGGGATTAAAAGAAAAAACTTAGAATAGGATTTATGTTGATTCAAATAACTAATAAATATGCATTTTAATGTGCAGCATGAACAAGCCTTTGCTGTCCTGGCAAATAGAGATGACCTCGGACATTTCTGGGCCCAGCCTTGCCTGGGCAGCACAAGGGCTGCAGTAAATCATCCCAGCCGGGACTTAAAGTATTTTGCCTGACAGCCTCTGGGTCCAGGACAGGCACAACACTAGAGCTTCCACAAAATCCTTAGCAATTTAGAGGATTAATTTTCCTCCAATTACCCTAGAGTCTAATATCCCCAGGGGGAGGTGACAGTGCCTCTTCCTTCTCCACAGGATCGCTGTGAACGACATGGAATCACCTCCTTCCAGCGCCTGAGCAGGACACTTGGCAAACAACACAACTGAGTCGGGCTGGACCGGGGCCTCTGTCTGCGTGGAGACCTGGTGGGCACAGAGGCCCCACTGCTGCCAGACCCCCAGGGAAGAGGATTTGAAATCCCCAGACCTGGGGTAAAGTCATAATTCCCCTACGTCAAGGGCAAGTCTCATTTATCAGAATAATAGGAGGTCAGAAGGTGATTAGCACCGAGGAAGAAAAAACAGTTGAGAGGAAAGAAATCCATTAAGAGGGATGTCCCATATGATTTCCCTCAGGGTGGTCAGTGGTGATTTGAGCAGAGGTGTAAAGGAGGGAGCCCTGTGGACCCCACTTCCTGACAGCCAGGGCAAAGCTCTCAGGCAGGCAGGTGCCCTGGGTCTTCCAGAAAAGCAAGGTGGCCAGTGTGGGTGGAACAGTGAGGGGAAGACAAGACAGGAGGGGTCATGGCTGTGTGTCCAAGGAAGGTTAGGTGGCTTCCTAGGCCATTGTGGGAACTATTTCCCAGAGAGAGCCTATGCATCTAGGAGTGAATATGTATGGATCATCAATACACAGCTTTAGAATTGTGGCAAAAAAATAAATCAAAATGAAACTGACCACTGGCATGCTTATGTAAGCATGTGGCACTTCTTTTCACCTGCCTGCCTTGAGCCGCCTTACCTTTTTCTCTTTGCTAGCTGGTATGGTATTCTCTGGTGTGTATTTTTATTTAGCTAGTCCCTTGGTGTATTGGGCATGGGCAAACAAAAATGATGCTCTAAAAAAAATCCTGGCTCAGGCCTCTGGCTTAGGGGTTAAGTCTCTGCACTGTCATCCTTAAGGCCTGAGTCTGATTCCTGGCTAGGAGCTGACCCACAGAGGGCACAGAAGACCTCTCCTGTCTCTTCTGCTGCTCCCCTCAGCAGTGTATTTCAGTAGATCCGCCACTGAGCAGATCCCCACTCTGTCTCTGGTGAATCCTCTTACCCTCTGCACCTCAGGCCTACACCCCAGTTTTCCTACACAAAAATTTAAAAATATTGTGACAACAGATCTGTGCTTTGGTAATACTCCGAATAAAAATTAAAAAAGAAAAAATCTTGGCTCATCTATTTAGGATGTGCAACTATTTCTATTTAAATTTCTGGAAATTCCCCGGCTGCTCCCTGGCCACCGGAGGAGGGTCCCACATGGCGCGCAGACCTCTCCTGCCGCCCGCTGCTCCCCTCAGCAGTGTACTCTGGTCCTTCTGCCTGCTCTGCTCCCTGCTCTGGCTCTGGTGGATTCTCTCACCCTCCCGCGCTTCTGACTGTACCCAGTGCATGTATAAACAAAAAAAAAACAACAAAGAAAGAAAGAAAGAAAGAAAGAAAGAAAGAAAGAAAGAAAGAAAGAAAGAAAGAAAGAAAGAAAACATGCCTCTATATTAAAAAAAATAAAAAAAAAAAATAAATTTCTGGAAATTATATCTAAGCAAAAACATTCAGAATTTTGATAAATATTACTGATTCCCCTCCACAAAGGTTATAACAATTTGCATTATCATCACTTCATGAAGATACTTCTATCCTCACTCTCACCAATAGGATATTATCAAATTTTTTTCTGTCTCTGCCATCTAGCAGGTGGAAGGTTGTACCTCATTTGTCTCATTTATCTCATGAGTCAAGTTGTCTCTTAAATGTGCTTAAAAGCTATTTGTATTTCTTTTTTTCTTTTTTTAAAGATTTATTTTATTTTTATGCATACAAGAGCTGGGGTACAGGCCAGAGGTGCGGTGGGGGGGGGGCTGGTGAGAGGATTCACCAGAGACCAAGTGGGGAGCAGAACAGGCAGACTGGGGGCCTCCCTGGTGGCTCAAGGGGTTAAGCACCACACTATAAAGCAGTCCGTAGCCTCTGTAGCACAAGTTTGATCCCCGGCCGGCCGGGGAGCAACCCATATGGCTCAGCAGACCTCTCCTGTCTCGCCTGCTGCTCCCTTCAGTGGTCTACTTTGGTTGATCTGCCTGTTCTGTTCCCCACTCTGTCTCTGGTGAATCCTCTCACCCCCCGCATCTCTGGCATATTCTCCAGCTCTTGTATGCATAAATATATAATTTTTTTTAAGATTTATTTTATTTATACAAGAACCAGGGTACAGTCCAGATGCATGGGAGGGTGAGAGAATTCACCAGAGACAGAGCAGGGAACAGAACAGGCAGACTTATGAAATACACTGCTGAGGGAGCAGCGGGTGAGACAGGAGAGGTCTGCTCACCATGTGGGTTGCTCCGAGGCCAGCGGGGATCGAACCGGCAGTGCAGAGGCTGTGGACAGCTTCACAGCGCTGCTCTCAACCGCCTGAGCCACCAGGGAGGTCCAATAAATAAATCTTTTTTTTAAAAAAAAAGAACAGGCAGATTGACTGAAATACACTGCTGAGGGGAGCAGCAGGGGAAACATGGAGAGTTCTGCTGCACTATGTGGGTTGCTTCCTGGCTGGGGATGGAACTTGTGCTTCAGTGGCTGCGGAATACCTTCATGGGTTGCATCTTAACCCTTTGTGCCACCAGGGAGGCCCTGTTTGTATTTCTTTTTCTGGGAAATGCCCATGCCCTTTGCCCACTTGCAATTGGTTTTGACTGTTTTATTGAATTTTCAGAGCTTTTTATATATTCTGGAAATTTAGCTAACAAGTTAGTCGTTAACACTGTTTTTTCTTATTTTAATTTTGTATTTATTTTTATTGAGAATACATACTAAGTTCTTCCCTTGTGCTGACTACTTTTCTTGTGTGACTTCTTAGGCTCTTCACCACCTTGCGAGGTGGCTATTAAAATGACCCTTTTACAGCAGAGTAAAGGAAGGCTCTGACAGATGAAGGAGCTTACCCAGGGTGGTAAAAGCATCATTGGGAGAGCCAGGACCCAAGCCCTGGTCAGTGTGGCTCAGAAGCCTATGTAGCTTCTAGGGGTGCTGATTCTGTGGGAGACTGGGAGCTCTGCCTCATCTACCTGCATCTGTACAGCAGGTCCTCAAGCAGCATGGTTTGGTTCAACAACTTCTGTTATAACATCCACCAGAAGGAAACCCCTGGCAGAAGCTGATGCAAACCATGTTATTAGACTCCCTGGTTTCTTTACCCATTGTTCCCCCTCAAATTGCAGTGTCCAAGGACTGATTGGGGGTGTTAAGTGAGAACTCAATGTAATGTGAAAGCCTCAGCTCCCCTCTTAGCACTCAAACACAAACTCCCATATTTTTTTGTTTTTCCACCACGACATTTCTCAACTGTTTCCACCCAAGCAATAGGTCAGGCCATGAGACCCAGGGAGGGTGGTTGGGGTAGGGTCTCATGGTAGAGAATTACTTTTCAGTACCTGTACTCCTGTGTACTGTGTACCACGTGCTTGTAATTAAATTGTTTTAGTGCTACCAACAGTGTGCTAGAACTGGAAGAAGTAACACTTCTTCCGGTCCCAACCCCTTGGTCTGACAGGGGGATCCAGGGCGGCAAGGTACTTTGCCTCAGGTTCCATGGCCTGAATTTAAACTCAGATCAACTAACTCCAGAGCTCTCAACACTGATGACACAGAGCCTCCTGACTTGGGGCTCTCATCAGCCAACTGGATGCCATCTGTTAGAAAGGCTATGCTGAGGTGGCACAGGAGCCTCTGACAGCCCTCAAGACAATCAACGCCAAGGCATGGTCTCAGTTCTTTTGTTCTATGAGATTTGAGTTGTATTTTGCCACATAGATGGGAATCCTGGGCTTTCAAATATTGCCCAGTAATGGTGAAGATGCTGGGCATTCTTTCAGGACAGTTTCACTGTCAAAGTGTTCATTGTGGTCCTCGTGGTCAGAAGCATGTAGTCACCAAGTTTCCCCACTGCCTGATATTTCTTCTTCCCAAACAGTTGAGAGGACCGGATGCGCTGCTGGGGTGTGCGGGTGAGGGGTTTCGGGGTACTTGGTATGGTCACAGGGGGATGGGACTATTCCCAGGAACGATTAAGGACTGGCTGCTGAGCTTCTGGTACAGGCCTGCTGGTGGGGAGGGCTTCCTGACCTGGACCAGGTGGCGCACGCGCCGCCGCTGCTGGAGCCAGTACAGCATCTCCACTTTGTCCCGCTTCATTTTGTCCAGATAGCGCTGCCCCTTGAAGGTCACTGGCTCGCCAAAAACTAACTCGATCTCCCCCAGGAGGGAGACCAAGGGGGCCTCCACCAGACTGAGCTTCTTGTACAACTTGTTGCGGATCTGGTTCTCTTCCAGGAAGTTGCTCTGGCCCAAGTCAGCCTTTCCAAAGAAGCGGTTGGGGTTGGAGGCTTGTCGCTCAAACCACTCCAGCTTCCCCAGCAGGCTCTCCCGCAGGTGAATGGGCTGCAGGACCCGCTCCCAGGCACTCACCAATGAGGGCAGCTGCCTCAGACGGGCATTGGAACTGTACTTGATGGCCATGTCCAGTCGGTCCTTGTGAGGGACCTCAAGCAAGGACCACAGTCGCTCCAGGCGCTTCTGCAGGTTCCCTAGTTTGGGGGATTCCCCCAGGAGCTGGGTCTTTCTGGGTCCTACCTTATACTCCAGCACGTTGTTCCAGTTCCACTCTCCTGGCACAAAATCGAGCTCTTTGTCTTGTAGCAAGGGGGGTGGGGGTTGAATCTTTAGCGTCTCTCTGACAGGGGCAGGGGTCTCCTTGGGAACATTCTCTTCATACATTTGGAAGATGACGTGCAGGAAATCTGTTTCCTGGTTGACGAGGTACTTGAAATAATCATCCACAGAAATGGTGCTTTTCCACATCAGCCATGAAGGCTTGTACTTATTGGCCCAACGGTTCTTTACTTGGAGTGACAGGAAGGAGGGTGTATTCTCAGGGCTGGACTGAAAACCATTTGTTTTCTTGGAGTAAAGTCCAACCAGCGAGGGGTTGATCATACGATTCTCTTTGTCTTGACCTAGAAAAGCTGAGGACTGGATGCCTGACCAGTCTGTTTCAGAGGCAGGCTCCACTAGGGGCCCTTGGTCAAAAGAGAAGTGCTTATTGGACACACGACTCATCAGCTCCTTGTAGACCTCCCTGATGCTACTGCTGACAGAGCGATCCACATCCATTTCCTCAATGAGTTTGGGGTCCAGCTCACCATTCAGGTGGTTGTACAGGACTCTGGCCCCCTCAACGTGGAAGGAGTCCACAAAGTTTCTCTCAGAGAACTGTACAGCAGCTGCCTGGACCACCATCTGATTTCTTAACTTCACAGTAACAGTTATTGGCTGTGGTTGAATTGGAGAGGACTGGAACTGGAGGCCCCGGTGCCGAGCGGCTTCTTCTTCCTCTAGGGACTTCAACATTCTGTGGAGCTCTGCCATTCGATCTGTGGCAGTTGGGCAATGGGTCAGGGCCCCCACCAGTGGGGGAAGGCCTGAGTCCGTGGGGGAGTGATGAGTCCACTCCAGTTTCATTTTCTTTATCATCGCCTTCAGATCCTCAGCCACCATGTCCACTAACAGCTCTGGCTTGCTCCCTGCCACCAGGATCAGGGGGGTTAGGGGGCGAGGGGGGAGTGGTGGGAGGCCCAACTCATCCGCTAGCTTCCAGCCCTCACGCAAAGAGGGCATGGACTGGCCCCTGTGGAGTTGGGAGTAGCGGGGGGAGGGGCTCGGAGAGGGGGCTGTTCCAGTGGGAGATGCCACGAAGTGCTTCGGCTGTGACACAATCTGTAAGGAACTGTCTTTTTCTCTCTTTGTTTGCCTGGAGGGCGGCCAGCTGAAAGGTTTTCTCTTCTTCAGCTGGGGGATGGACTTTAGTTCCTTCACTGGATCTGGCTCAGGTTCACTGGCAGGCTCTGACGGGCGGCTGAGTTGGATGAGGTAGTTCAGGTTGAGGCTGGAGGGTAGCACTTGGACCAAGCCGGTGCTGCGTGGCAGTGGGATGTGGTAGAGCTTCAGAGCCCCCGTGGGGCCATCCATGCGCAGCTTGTGCAGGCCGCCTTCCACCCGCTCGACCTTCAGCAGCGCTAGGAAGTCAGTGAGCAGGCAGCGGTAGACCTCAGGGCTGGTGAGGAAGTTCGTGCAGTCCCTAGCGAGGCTTGCGGCCAAACGGGTGAGCGTGGCTGATTCAGTGAAGACCCCTTTGGTGTTGGACATGGTCACCAGCAAGTACAGGTAGCTTAAGAAGAGCTGCTCGCTGCTGAGCAGCACGTGGGCCTGCAGCCGGTTCCACAGCCTCTGGTTTTCCAAGTGGCTCAGAGTAGGCTGGGAGGGAGGCTCCTGCCAGCTGCACTTTAGCTCGTCCAGGATGACCTTGGTGAAACAGAGTCGGCCCTCGGGAGGCACCCGCACCGGCAGCCGCTGTCCAACACTGTGCAGGCGCTCGGCCACCTTCCGGCACAGCGACTCCGCCGTGAGTCGCGAGATCGGCAAGGGCAGCAGCATCGGGGTCTCCTCCGGCTGGCGCTTCTGAGCTTGTGGGACCGTCGCCTTGCGGGGAAAGAGCGACAGCGGACGCAGCAACCGGTGGTAAAGCTGCTGGAGCTCGGTCTCCGGCTCGTAGGGCTCCATCTTTGCGCTGGCGGTGCCGTCCCGCCCCTCAGAGACCGCCAAGCGGTTACCGAGGCAACCATGGGCGGGGCCGTCCGAGCGCGCCTGCGCAGGGGTGCCTTCGGCGCCGCGGGCGGCAGAGGGGGCGGGCCTTGCGTGCGCGCGCACCAGGGGGCGGGGCAAAGGGCGGCTGCCGTGACTCCGCCTCCCGCGACGCCGCTGGGGTTTGAGCGCCGCGGGACTCCGGCCGCTCCGCTTGCCCCGAGGGCCGCTGGGTCCGGGATGGCGTCGGGCTCGGGGGACAGCGGGACCGCCTGCACGGTGAGGGTTGGGACCTCACGCGGGAGCCTCGTGAGCAGAGAACCTCGACCCCCGGGGTCACCGTTAACTCGAGGAAGGGGGGAGGGGCGCGCCCCTGGGGCGGGAGTCGGGGGGGGCCCCGCCTTGAAACCCGCGCGGGAGTGGGGAGCGCCTTGGCGTTAAAGTTGGGGGCTGTTGGGCCTGGAATGATGATGGGTGATAATGAAAAAGGCGCTTGAGGAGGGGAAAGGTGGGGGCATTTCCCCAAGCCTTTGGGGTAGTCGTAGGGGAAGTGCTGAAAAGGGGTGACACAAGAGGGGCCCCCAGCTCTCACCCGCCGGTCCCTGCCGCCCTTGTAGCTGGAATTCGCGGTGCAGATGACCTGCCAGAACTGTGTGGACGCCGTGCACAAGTCCCTGAAAGGGGTGGCAGGTAAGAGTTAAACTTTAATTCTCTGGGTGGGGCGGGCAAATCTCTTAAAACAGCCCTAATCCCATTTGACAGATGCAGAAACTGAGCCTCAGAGAGAGCAAGGAATATTCTCAGTCACAGAGACCCAGAGAACAGGCAGAGTCTAGAGGACAGGACTCGAGCTTGCCCTGCCAGAGCCGGCTGTGACGCCCTGTCTTCATGCCTGTGCTCAGACGCGGAAAGAGTGAGGAGCTGGGCCCAGGAGAGCCCCACCTGTAGAGGGCGTTCCCTGGCAAACTGGCAGTTCTTGCTTGGGCAACAGCATGATCTTGACAAAGCCAACAACAGCCCTCGCCAGGTTCCCTCCTAAGCACCTCTTGGTTCGTAAAAGCCAGTTAGCTGGCTCGAGGTGACCTGGCACAAGCGGAAGGATCTGACAAGGCCACCAGCAGGACACGGGGGACCGCCTGCCTCTGATTGTGCCCAGTGTTCATCCAGACATTCAGCAGATGTGGGCAGACACTGGGGGGCTTTGAGGGATAAGGGTTCACAAGTGGTTCAGGCCCAGGCCCTGCCCACAGGTAGAAGCGAGCACAACCAGCACTGCTCACGGAAGAGCAGTTCCAGGAGGAGAAGATGCAGTGAGAGGGGTTGGAAACAGATGGTGGTGGCCCTTGGCTTGGACAGGGCAGCAGGGTGCATAGTGGGAGGGGCATGTGCTTTAGAGTCAGACTTTTTGGATCCAGACCCCGTCTTTACTGCTTCGTGGCCCTGAGGTCTCACACCTATTAATTTTTGTGCGTGTCTCTTCAGCATTTCAGTGAGCACCATAACAGTGGTGGCCAAGAGAGCACATGCAAAGCACTTTAGAAATGTTTTGGGTACAAAGTGACAGCTCACTAAGTTTTAGAAATTATGAGAGGAAGGGTTTGCACTTTTTGGCTATCGTGAATAATGTGGCTGTTGGTAGCCTGCTTTTATAAAAAACATGTTTAAAGGTTATGTTTTGGAAGTTATTTATAATGCCTGGCACAAGGTAAGCTTACCTCAATCATGGGAGCCAAGTGGCATTATCCTCACTTTACATATAAAGAAACAGACTCACAGAGGTGAAAAGCCTTCAGCAGCAAGAAGATAACTTCTGAGTTGGTGAAGATGGGGATGGGGTGTTGCAGTCCGAGTATCTTGCTACTCCTAACACAAGGGTGCCTGCCCTCTGCTGTCCTCTGACTCCCTCTTCCCAGGTATCCAAAGTGTGGAGGTGCAGTTGGAAAACCAGATGGTCCTGGTGCAGACCACCCTGCCCAGCCAGAAGGTGCAGAGCCTTCTAGAAGGAACAGGACGCCAGGCGGTTCTCAAGGGCATGGGCAGCAGCCTGCTGCGTGAGTTACCACTATAGCCTTGGCCTCTCTGGGAGGGATGTGGCCTGGGGCTTGTACAAATCTAACCATAGGATTTGGGCATTGTGGGTTGGACTTGGGCATTGGGGAAGCATGCCCATTATGTGGGGGCACTTTCTATGCCTTTCCCCAGCTGACGAAGGGGTGAAGCTGGAGGAGGTGGTGACCGAGAATGTGTCTAATATCTTGCAGAGAATCTGGGGGCAGCAGTGGCCATTCTAGGGGAACCTGGCTCCGTGCAGGGGGTGGTGCGTTTCCTACAGCTGACCCCTGAGCGTTGCCTCATCGAGGGGACCATTGATGGCCTGGAGCCTGGGCTGCACGGACTCCATGTCCATCAGTTTGGGGACCTCACGAAGAACTGCAACAGGTAAGTTGTCAGTAACCTCATGGCATCCCATCCTCCCACTTGCATATCCTCTACAAACACACACACACACACACACACACACACACACACACACAGAGGGTGCTCACAAGTATCCCACGAGACATATACATATAGGCCCCGTCTACAGATGGGAAGACTGAGGTTCAAAGAAGTTAAATGACTTGTCAGGGTCCCCAAAGGAGGTCGGTGGAAGAGTGGGAACTTGAGCTGGAAGGCAGGTCCCTGTTTCATGGCAGGGTGGGGGGGGTGTCATGTTGTGATGTAATTTGTTGTTTACTCATCCATGTCTCCCCCTGGAAGCTGGCCCACGATGTGCCTGTTTGTTGAGTGAATGAGTGAATGAATGAAGCAAATATAGTTAAGAGAGTGGCTCGTCTGGCCTGAGAGTTTATGTTTGCCTGCTTACCTGCTCTCTCTCCTTCTCAGCTGTGGGGACCACTTTAACCCTGATGGATCCTCTCATGGGGGCCCCCAGGACTCTGACCGGGTAAGTGTCAGACAGGGACTGAGAAAGAACCCCGGGTGTCAGAGGCGGGGCAGGCAGTTCTGGCCCCTTACAGCGTGGTTCCTTTTTGATGGTCTGGAGAAGGTGGTGCTTTTACCTAAACTAGAAACACCTTTCCTGATGCTCTAGCTCCTGGTCCTGGAACTTAGGTTTTCCCCCAAGAATTGTTTCCTGAAGCCAGCAAGTCACACGTGGCCTTCTTGATTTGTGGCTTATCTGAATGCCGCTTGTTCTGCTAGTTACTCAGTGTTTTGATTTAAATGGATTCATTTTTTTCCCCTTAGGTAATTTTAGTTATTTTTATTCCTGTATTCCAAAGTAGGGAAACTAGAGCCCTTTATTGGCAGGTCCCTACCTCAGGATCCAGCCATGCCCAAGGCACGGGCAGCCCCCTTCCATCCTGAGGGAAAGCAAATCAAGACATCATTTCAAATAATTAAGGCAAACTGATCTGTGACAAGAAACTTGGTATTGCACAGTGAAGGGAAAACCAGGTGCCATCGGGGATGACAGCTGTACGAATATCTCCATGAAGGTCTGACGGGATTTCTCGAGTCTGGTCGGGGGCTTGCCTGCCAGGTCTGGGGACCGAGGCCTGCTATCTCTTTGCCACGGGGACTAACAAATGTTAGAGGTGATAGAGGCTTGCGAACTCCACAGTGAAACTTTGTGGAGGGTAACCCTCTCTCTCGGTGATTGGATGTTCCCTGAGGCCCTGTCCACATAGACCTGGACCATCTCCCCTACTTCCAGGCTGGGGTGTTCCCCCTGCACTGGGAGACTCAGTACTAGGATAGACACTCAGGCTCCTAGTCCTGAGAACTGGGGGCCCCCCATGACTCAAAGGCTTCTTTGGTTTTTATTTTCTGTCTTGAGGAAAGTCTTCAACCTTCTGCCACAAAACATGAAACCGTGGTGTGTATTTCTTAAAATCTGTAGCTGAGCACTTGGCCTTTGGGCAATGCTGTCATGTTTCTGATGGCAGACGTTGTATTCCCCACCCCATCCCCGCTGGAGAAGCATTTCTGTGGGCCTCTCCTACAGTGCCTTGCTGTGCCTGGTGGATCAGGTATCAGTTGCTGCCCATCCCATTGCTCCAGACATTGGGGGTTGGAGTATTTGTCTTCTCCAGGTTTCTTTTCTTTCTTAAATTTTTTAAAGAAGTGTTCCTTTATTGTAAGTCTTTTTTTTTTTTTTTAATATATAGAAGTACTGGGGTATAGGCCAGAGGTGCAGGCAGGTGAGAGGATTCACCAGAGACAGAGTGGGGAGCACAATAGATGGATCCACTGAAATCCGCTGCTCAGGGGAGCAGTGGGTGAGACAGGAGAGGTCTGCTGTGCCATGTGGGTCAGTTCCCTGGCCAGGGATCGAACTCATGTGGTTTCGCAGCAGGAGGGCTGTAGTGATGGTAGTGCTGAGACATAGCTCCTAGGCCACCAGGGAGGCCCTTCTCCCATTTCTGAGGGGTGGGAGTCTCTGGGTGCAGCTTGGCTGGGCCTCTGGCTCAGGTTTCTCACGGGGCCATCTTGGTGTTGTTCAGGGCTGCAGCTGTGTCCAGAGGCAATGACGGGGGGCTGCCTTGGCACCCCTGTTGCCGTTGGCAGGCTCGGGTCCTCGGGCTGTTGGCCAGAGCTACTTCCCTTACCCACATGCCTCTCCTGGGGGCAGGGCAGGGCGCAGCAGTGGGCTTCCTTCAGGGCAAATAAGGGAGTACGGGAGAGGGGATTCGAGACTGGAGTCATGCAGCCGGTACTGGGGAGAGGAGAAAGCACGGGGTGTGAGTTGAGGGGTGCATACCAGAGGCTGTCTTCTCCAACAGGAGTTAAGTAGGTGGTGGCTGGGAATGGCAGGCTTAGCAGGGGGAGCTCCTCTGCTGTAGGCGATCCAGCCAGGAGCCATGGCAGCTGAGGGCAGAAGACCACCTGGAGTCTTGGCCTGGGTCCTCTGGGGCAGGGAATCGGGGCTGGAGCTGGGTACCGTATCACCCCCAGGCCCTTGATATAGACACTGGAAGGCTCGAGCAAGAGCTGCATCCCTGAGGCCACCAGCAC